GCTTGGTTTGTTGTTGATTGAAGCCTCAAATCTCCACACAAGTCCGCTATTTAAACTTTCTATTACATTTGCCATGGGATGAGCATTTTTCTCTCGTGATGAGATTTCTGAGAATATGATCTATAATGTCACCATGCTGGTCATAAACTGTTGCTCCGCTGTCTGGTATATTTGTGTCATCTAACCCAGCACATTTTGCATCAGCTGCATTTCAGATACTCATACACTCCATTCGAGTTTAATTTTTTTTTTTTTTGTGTTGCCATAGGTTAATAATCTGATTGAGCAATGAACTTTGCACATTGTTTTCATTAGGTCACTGAGCTTTAAAAGTTTTCTAATTAATTACTGAATTTTATAATATGTGACTTCATTCATCACTCAATCAACCGTAGTTCGAAAAAATGATGAAATTGATAAAGTGGCAAACAGAGTCGCTTATGTTGCACAATATTGCAATTAGCGATTGCCAAATCATGAAGTTGTTGATGACATGGAGGGATTAATTATTGAGTTATGCTACATATACAAAGTTGAGTTACAAAATTGGTTGACAAAATAACATCCACACCAATCATTTAAAATCAACATTCTAGATTCTGCCAACACACTTTGTAACCCAACTTTTGTAACTCAACTTTGTATAGATAGCTTTATTGTTATTAATTTGATTGAGCATGGAACTTTGCACAAAGTGTTTCCAATAGGTTTAAAAATTTTCCTATTAAGCACTTAATTTCTCAATACGTAGCTTTGTAATATGTAACCCTATCCATAACTCAATCAATGACCGTTCGAAAAAGTAACAAAATTGATGACATTGGTAATTGAATTGTTTATGTGGCACGCTATTGCAATTAGTGGATGCCAAATCATGAGATTGTTGATGGGGTGAAGTGTTATTTAAAAATATGTTTTTTACACCGTCAAAATATTCACCAAATATGGGATGAAGATATAAATGTCGATAAATAAGTGATAAAACGAATTGTCATTAAAAAACGAATTTTCAACGTGATTTTTTTAATTGTAGTATTGTTTAATGTTTTTTTTTTCAATTTATTAATAAATGTAATATTTTAGTTCATTACAAATAATTTTTAATTTATCAATTTTCTGTAATAATATAATTTGTAATTAAGAAATTCAAAGTAGAATTTGGTGTAAAACCATTTCCAATTGTCCTACACCAAACCACTGCAAACACCAGCAAACTTCACGGGAAGACGAACTTGTAAGACGGCACGGCAGTAGAATCGAAGCAAACGCACACAGCTGCAAGCCTATGAAAAAACCCATGGAGAAATTTAAGTTTTTAATGGATTTAGTGCAAACCCAAATGAAAGAGGATGGAAGAATGAAACAAAAACATAGATGGGAAGGTTTCTGTCTTCAAAGTTTGGAGGGAATTATTAAAAAATTGAGTGGAAATAGATGAAATGTGAAACGGATACACGAAATAAAGAGAAAATGTTTAACAATGGTTTTAATTTATTCCCACAGTGGTATAACGAAACCGTGTTCTACGTCGCTGCTAGACTTCATTCAAAATGTTAAAATAATTACATGTTCACGAACTAATGATTATAATAAATGTTTTCTTTTTC